AAAGTAGCCAAGCCCAAAGGTCTGCAGAAAAGGGACAAGATACTAATAGATGGTAACAATCCTCACCGTGAGCTCTACAGAGAATACACTACCTTCCCCTTATTTTATTACATTATAATATAAGGATATCTTTGCTATGAAAAAAGAAGAGAGGAAAAAGAGTTTTTTAACAGAAACATAAAAAGGGGTTGTCTCAATTTATTACGAAAGGCAAAAGAAGAAAAAGATGAGAGAGCATGCAAGCTTTCTCCTCAAGCTAAGGTAGTCCTGATCCAATCTAAAAAAAGTGGTCTGCTACTGGATAAATCCATGCCAACAAGAGAAAAATAAATGCCAAACATATAGAATTTTTCTTTTTCCTTATATTATTAACCTAATTTTTGGAGTCTACCCAATTTAAAATCTGGATTGGAAGGCCGTAAGACCATATCATCAAAATAATCAGGACCTCTCCAAGAGGTGAGACACAAATGGAAGCACAGTAAACAGTAAACATACTATTAAATTTGACATAGGCAAATTAACAATACTGATGGTGGTAGGTTTTGATAATTACCCAATGAGTTCATCTGGTGAAGAAAGACCAAGTGTATCAAGAATCATAGATGTAAGCATTGATTCTTTGCCACGACCATCATAGGCTCTGATTACTGCCGTCAGTGCTTGAGCAGCAATCCCATAACCACTATAAAAAAAAAGCAAAACAAAACTCATCATCAGTTTAATTTCTGCAGAACTTACAGGAGAAATGGGGAATAACAAAACAGGTTCTGCAATCTGCACCAAAAAATTGTTTGAAAACCATGTCTGGAACCAATGCTGTTTCCTGAGAGGTATTTTTTGAGAAAACGGTGCTGCACTAATATGCTTTTTTCTCAGAAAACTTTTTTTTGCGACTGTTGCTGCCACATAAGCATTTTCTCAATGCCACATCAGCATACTGTTGCTAGCAACAGTTAAAACAAGAAAATACCAAAAAGGACATTTTCTTAGACCACACCTTTCCCAATTTCCAAGCCATGGTCTGAGAAAACATTTTCTGGAAAAAACACTTAGACCAAATACCAGGCATGGTCAGAAAAAACAGATTTCAGATGTCACGCTGTTTTTCAAGAAAACAGCCTTTGTTCCAAATACTGGCTAAGCTTTTATTTTCTTTATCAGTGAAATATATCACATTCAATTATCTTAAAACTGCTCTAAACAATAAGTTCTTTTTTCCTTTGTTTTGACAAAAGGCTAAGAATCTTCCCATGGCTCCCAAACCTTTTTCCGAGATTTAGGAAGGAAAGAAAACTCTAAGCAGATCCACGCGTCAAAAATACAGAAGTCACGAGGAAATTGGTGCACAAATTTCTGGATGATTAGCAGGGAATCCTAGGTCTTTTTCTCAATGAGTCAATGATGAGGATATTTTCTAAAAATCTGGAGGTGGAAAAGAATTACATCTCGGATGTAGTAGGAAAACCAGCATTATATCAATCTTCACTACTCCCTTTCTCTCATTCATGCTCCCATTAGAACTGTTAAAACATAAAAGCATTGAAAAGATCATGAGAGGCATTCATTAGAAAAGTGGAAACCTAATGACTCTAGAAGGATCACCTCTTAAATGGGGAAAGGGTGTGCAAGGAGAAAGAACATGGCAGACTGGGTAAGTTGAGTTAGTATTTTAAAAGCACAAGGGGCATTTTGAGCCCAAGGCACAAGGCGCAAGGTGAGGCATGCACTTTTTGAACCAAGGTGTAAAAATGTACAAAAAATGCCAAAAATGCAAAAAATAAAAATAACAAACATAATATTAATTAAAAAAGAAAAATGAGAGAAAGGAAGAGAAGCTTGAGCAAAGTTTATGGAAGAAAATAAGAGATGAAGAGAAGGGAAGAGAAGAGAAGAGTTCAATCCCTCTCTCCTGCCTCCAAAGATATCTTTTATTTCTTTAATTGAAATCTGAGTACAATTCCATGAATACCCTTAATAGGGTGGGCTAGCACTAAAGAAATAACAAAAAAACAAAAACAGGCCCATAACTCAGGGCCACTACTTAAAAGAACATAAGCATAAACATAACTTAAATAAAAGAAAGGAACTAGGACAGGCCAGAGGCACTAACACCTTTGAGGCATTTGCCTCAAGTGCAAGAGGCATACACCTCATAAGCTTTTTTCATGAAGTGTGCTTGAGGCAAACGCCTCAAGCACACTTGTCTAGGGGAGCAAGGTTTAGCTGAACGCTTTAGCTGTTCAGCGGGCTGTGGAACCAATGATAAGGTTCCACGCCAGTATTAAATACATGGGGCCCGCATCTTTTATAGTGGGGTCCATGAATTTATTACTGGCATGGAACCTCATCATTGGTTCCACAACCTGCTGAACAGCTAAAGCGTTTAGCTAATCCGAATTCGGGAAAGGGGGCTTCACATCACACCTCCGCCTTTCAACTAGTGTTATTCACCTTCATTCTTTTTAATATAAAAGATTTTTATTAAAAATAAAGAAAAATGAGATCCTCCTTTCCTCTTCCCCTTCCTCCTCATCCCCCTCTTCTTAAGGAGGCTTACACCTCCTTGTCTTCGGGAGGCTTACAGCACTTGCGTTCTGAACTACGCCTCACGCCTCTAGGTAGTGGAACGCCTCGCGTCACGCCTCCACGTTTTAAAACATTTATCTAGCCAATCCCATCAATATGAATTGCGGAAACAAGAAGAAAACATAATAGTAAGTTGTACGAGTCACCATCAAACCCTCTTTGAACTAACGTTTTAAATTTCGTAATGTATCGCTCCATATCGGCCGATACATACCGTTCCAATGAGGGTTCAATACGTGGAATGCTACAAAACCTTTGGTTTCATTTCTTTTCATCTGTATCGGACTGATATAGCCTCATTTTGGGTCTACATTGGCTAATACAGGCCCGATACGTACCAAAATTATGTATGCATCAATCGATATATTCAGATTTTTAATATTATTTAATGTCATTCATTTTGTCTCTAATAATTCCTATAATTACTCCCTATAACCCCTATAATTACTCCTCTCTCTAATAACTCCAATAATTACTCCCACTCTTTCAATAACTCCTATATTTAATGCTACATTTAATATATTTAATCAATATTCAAATTCGAATTTAAATTTAAAAAATGCCATTAAATACACCTTAAAAGCCTTAAACTAGCCATAAAAACCACAAATAGGAGGATTTGAATTCTTAAGGGATTTTTTTGGCAATAAAAGTAAGATATAAACTTTAGGAAAATTAAGATATGTAAATATATTGATTTAGGAAAACTAAGATGTATAAATAAAAACTTTAATTCTTCCATTATTCTTCAATGGTTTCCAATTGTGTCTGAATATCTCACTATTTATAAAAAACCCTTGAAGTATGATTTTTTACATTTAAATAACTCATTTGTAATTATATAAAACTCATATCTACTGTTATTAATATATATTTTTAAGATTTATTTTAGTTTACCAGTGTATCCACATGTAGCTTGATTTTTCAATTGTATCCATGCATATCTAAAGCGTATCCCAATACATCTCATAAAATTGCCTTACCAATACATCTTGCATTTCCGAAACTATGAACCTTGCTTTCAACTGCCAATTAGAAGGAAACTAGAAAACCATTGAAACCACCATAAGCACTACAATCTAAGGCATGAAGGCCTCCTTCTCTAGTGGGTGATCAGTCCTTTTTGGTCACTTTTCCCTTATTCAAACTATGGTGAGAAAAAAAAAAAAAGTCGACTTTTGTTGTAGTGTACTTTACAGTCCAATTCGATCAACCTTGCTCTAAGACCATGTTATCAAAATAAAAATAAATAAATAAAGTTGTAAAAATCCTAGCAATAGTCCAAATTGAAGTAGGAGAGAAGTAGAGAAGTTGAAGAATGAAGGCATGAAGCAAGCTGAGATGATGGTTTAAAATGTCCCTAATGTCCCTAATATTTCCACCACATATTTCCATTTCCATGGGTTGCGACACGAAATTTTACTAGAATCGACATTTCCCCAATGAACACTACCAGACCTACATGGAGTACAAGAGATAGTACCCACGACATATTTCCATTTTCACTTCCATGGGTAACATGTAATTTTACTAGAATTGACATATTCCTTTTGAACACTACCAGTACTATGTGGAGTACAAGAGATAGTATTTAACATAAGTTGAAGACAATATTGTAGATATGTGAAATAACAAGTTATTGTCCACCTAACTTAGATGATTACAACTTTAAGCTAGCTCAATATTCATTTCAAACATGAATTTAGATAATACTTTTTGTTTATGTAGTAGATTATTTGGTTGATCTGTTACAACCATTTACATTTTCTATTAGTTTAAATTTTGCTTCAACTAATTCTATCATGAAGTTCTAAAGCTTAAGGTTTACAAGGCAACTTTAGAACGTATTCTTTTGTCTATAATCCTAGTTTCTTAGTTTTGTTTAATAACTTGGAACAACAATAATTTAAAAAGGTATGCCTATTGCTTCTTTTGTCATTTCATAAAATATCATTCTATATTTTGCATATTTTACAATGTTTCCACCATGTCTATAATTTTTACAATATTTCCATACGACATTTCCAACATGTTTAGGYGCCTAGGCAACGCCTTGACAACTATGGTGCTAAGATTAGTGATTGCTTTGAAACCTTAGGCAGTCAGAAAGTAAGGATTCCTCATTTGTGCAGGGAAGTAAATGACTGGGATGTGGATCTCTCTCCAATATGGAATTACCGCTGGAAGGGCTGAAGCCCCTCTAATCAGCAAGTGGGTTTGGGGCTGGATTTGGAAGTTGAAAATACCATCTTAATTGATTTTCTTCATTTGGTTGGATGAGGGGAAGAATTCAGACTATTGATATGCTGCAGTCAAAAGGAAAGTATCTTGCCAATATTTCTGTTTCTGTGAGGTGGCAGCAGAGAATGTAAATCACACAATCTCTCTCATCCATTGCATGTTTTCCACCGCAGTTTGGTCCCACCTTTTCAACCTGTTTGGTGTTTCTTGGGTTGTTCCTCAGGATCTGGAACCACCAATCTCCTCTTGGAGTCTGGAAGGCCTACCAAAGAGAGGGAAAGTCCTGTGGGGCATGGTTCCTGGACTAATTTTCTTGTCAGTTTGGAAAGAAAGGAATGACAGGACCTTTGTCAATCAAGCAATGCCAATTGAGAGGTTCTGTGACAAGGTGGAGAGGACTCTGGTGAAATGGGTCTCTACCGATAAACTATTGAGGGCATAAACTTGAGCCATTTTTACAGCTACTGGGACAGAATCATCTGGGATGAACTTTGTTTTATAATATGTGTATGCTGTTAATGTATTGTTTCAGTGGTTAGTCTAGATGGATTGTAACAAGAGAACCTCTCCCTTGGCCTATATTTTCCCAGTATAAAGAAATTTCATTTTCATCTTTTTCTTTTTTGTTGATACTTGAACAATTAATTCATTAAACAAAAGACAGGTCTGTTACAAGTATCCCAGAGGGAGGTGAGAGATGCAGCAGCACTCTTCAGAGGAGATAACATCCAGCCAAATCACTTTCTTAAGGAGATCCCTAAAACCCCAAACAATCGAATCCGGATCCAGCAACCATCCCACAACTACTTTGGAGTCACCTTCAATTAACAATCTTTCTGCACCAAGTTGACTGGC